AGGAGAGAGAGAGAGAGAGAGAGAGAGAGAGAGAGAGAGAGAGAGAGAGAGAGAGAGAGAGGGTGACGCGCGGGCACTACCAAAGACAGGTGAGTCATTTCCTCTCCTGTCTGTTTTTTTTTTCTATTTTTCTCGCGTTTTCTTTTTTGGAAATTTAGACCCTCTTACTCGAATACAACAATTTTCTCTTCGTGAAATTCAAATATAACGCAAATGCGTTTTATTCGAATAAAACGCATATGCATTATATTCGAAGTGCCCTTGTATTCGAAGAAAAGGGTCTAACTTTCCAAAACCCATTTTTTTTGGAAAACTCGAATACAACGCATATGCGTTATGTTCGGGGGAAGACGATAGTAGTTTAGAGCTTGAATGCCCTTTTTCCTGGCCGCGTGTGGAGTGGTACAACCCTCAGTAGCTTGCTATTCGGTTTTTAGTTTTTCTTTTTTTTTTCCCTCCTGCGATCAAAGAATCTGGGCTCCATCCGGCGACCTTGCTCAATTGGTTAGGCACGCAAGTGGCATTCAGGAGGTTGTGGGTTCAATCCCCATGGTCGCCTGTGGCACTCTTGGTGCCAACCAACTGAGATAGTCAGCTCGATCCTCCCAGTCGGTATCAGTAAGGTCTTCAGCCAACATGGGTGTGAGTGCGCGTGTGAGTGGGTTGCGTGTGGCGTGTGGGACAATGTTGGCTTTGGACACTACCATCCAGAAGGCTGCCCATCCCTCACTTCATAAAACCTTTTCCAAGCTTATTGTCTCAAACATAAAGCATGCTACCCGAATGGCTGCGTCCCCTTATTTAATGCGGTATAATAGTGAACCAATGTCTCATTTCCCATACACAAGGAGAGTGGGTGGGTGGCTTGAGCGGGGAAGGGTTGGGCTTACGGCCCCCTTCCTCCTCCACAAGTCTGGGGTCATGTCAGTACTTGCCCAACACCCTTCTCCAACAAGGCTGTCAATGTGCGGTCAGTTTCAGGGCTCGCCTATCAGAGCAAATGGGTTGCAGCAAGGCTGGCGGCTACAGTCAAAATAAAGGTGCGGCAATTCGCGTTTTTCTTGGCGCGCAGACCGTTTCAAGGCTTGGCAAGAAAAGGAGAGGTGGTTAACGGAGACCCTAATTTTAAGACAACATGTCATGCCATTTATAACCAAATTCAAGGGTCGTTTTAACCAAACTTTTCACCAACATTCAGTTTAAGAAATCTTGAGAAATTTCAAAAATCTTAGCAGAGGAAATTTCAATGCTTCAAATGAGACCAAATTTGGTACATAACAACCTTGAACCAAAACAAAATAGGCAAAAAATAATAATAATAAAAAAAAAAAATTTGATCCTCAAACCTTAGTTCCTGTTTTGGACTTGTTAGTCAAAGCTGAAACTGGGGGTCCCTGTTAACCACGTGTGAGATTTTCGACAAAAAAAGGTCTTACTTTGGAAGATCTTTTTAAGTTAAATCCGTTTGGATTTTTTGTATAAGGGCAAAATAAGGTCATGAAATTAGAGCTACCGGGCTCTGAAAAATAAAGATGAGGTTTTCTGAACGAGGTTTCTTGGAAATTTCTTTGAAGGCCCGCGGATTTTATGATCCAAGCTAGGATTTGGAAATTGTCCTTAGTGATACTTTTTCCGAAAGGCTACACGTTTACAAACATATGAAATTAGTCGAAATTCCCTGAAGGCCTGAGAATTTTTCTAATCCTAGCTCGGAGCTGGAGTTTTGTCTTCAATGAGGCCTGGGAATTTTTCTGATCCTAGCTCGGAGCTGGAGTTTTGTCTTCAATGAAAACCTTTGTCTGAAAGTTGCTATACGTTTACGAGCATACGGGAATTCCAAGCGGCCTCTCTGATGGATTCGGGACACTGCATCGAGGGTACCACTAGGAACATACATTTTTTACCAAGGAGAAGTAGGGAAAGGTAAACGTTGCGACGACAAAGTTTTTTCTCAGGGTATTTAAAGCTTTAGAAGTTACATACCACTTACCTCAAGTTTTTTTTCAGGGTATTTAAAGCTTTAGAAGTTACATACCACTTACCTCGGAGTTGTATTTCCCTTTTTTTTTTCTTTTTTTTTTAAGGGGGGGGGGGGG